CGCCTACTAGCTCTAACAAGGCCCCAGCCTAGGCTGAACCAAGTAGGGCCTCTGCGCAGGTCTAGGATGTGTGTGTACATGGAGGGCATGAGTCAAGCCTTTCCAAAGCAGCACATAACAAGCCCCAGCATGGGTTATGGCAGAAGCAACCCTGGAGAAAAAAGGATACTTTCTTCTCCCTTTCTCTCCTCCTTCTTCTTCTTCCCCCTCCCTCCTTACCTACCTTCCCCCTCTCCCTCTCTTCTTGCCCAAAATACAGTGAGATTCCCTTCCCCCATAAACTAGAATCAAGTCCCCACATGGGATCTGTCAACACCCTGATCTGAGGCTTCTGGTCTCCAGAACCCTAAGAGGTAATGGTCAGTGGCACTTTAATATGGAAGCCCTGGCAGCCCAATTGACTAAGACAGTCCCCACACCAAAGACTGGACGGGAGGCCGAGCAGGGCGGGGGCTGATGTCTGCTCATTAAGGAGATGTGCACACAGGAAGAAGCACGGGAACCGGGACTACTGCAGCGGGGGTGCCTCCCATCCTGGGCTGCATCTTCTTTAATGAGACATCACTTTGGAGAAGCATTCTGGAGCCTTTCAAAATCTCAGCCTAAACCTCATCAAACTGCACAGAGATTACTTAAGATTTACCACATAGACACAAAATAAAATAAAATAAGGCAGCCCAGCAAGCAGCAGCCCTGTGACAGGACCATTTGTAGTTGGGATGGAAAAGCCTCCTGATTCATCTGCTTAAGCACAGCGGCTTCTGTTTATTTCACACTTTAATGTCATATGAATTTGGAAAGAGAAAAAAAGTGACAGGAAGTTTAAGGATATAAGTCACATTTCAGCTTCAGTTCAGATTAATGAACTTGCTGGGAGCTGGCAGGGGCACAGGCAAATCCACAAATCTTAGAACAACAAAAAAATTAACTCCTTGCTTGGCATGAGTCTTCCCCCTGGGGAGAGGCTCCTCCAGGACCCTCTGCTGACCTTCTGCCCTTGTACCTTGAGACCCAGATTACCTGCTGCATCTGGGCTGGACCGCCTGGGGTTAGGAGGTGTGCAGCCATGGGAGGGGAGAAGGGGTACAAAGCAGCCTGTGCACTGGTTCCTGGAACCCATCCTGTCCACCTCCCCGAAGATAAAACAGGTTATACATGCAGGGGAGAAGCAACCCAGAAGCGGGCAGCATGCAGCCAGCATGACTCGGTTACCCTCTGCCCAGCGCTCAAGCAGCCCAAGGGCCAAGAGCCATGACACCATACATCCTGCTCCTCAGGGCAAAGTTCTGCCCCAGAATGGCTGCAGTTCCTTCACTGCCTTGTTCTACTGATTCTGGCCTCAATGCACTCACCTGTCCTGGGCAGCAGGTGACCTTGTCTGCGAAGGCCTGGCTGGCACAACCATCTCCTCAGAGACCCTCACCAGAAGGCTCAAAAGACCCAAGAGCTTTGCTCTGTGGCTCCTGGCCTTCTGCTGAACAAGGACAAGCACTGACCAGACAACAGAACCTGACCACCTGGAGGACAGCCATACCCCTGCATCCTTGTCCCTCCATGTCCAGCCCAAGAATATCAGTGGCAGGAATGAGATGGCCATCTCCCACCCAAGTCTGACAGTAAAATCACCTCATAGGGCAGAAAAGTATACCCAGTGATGGCGGCCAACGGCAGCGGTCTCACTGAGTCTCAAGCGTTGGTGCTGCCTGTGGGTTCTGGAAAAGAACATTCTGGTACTTCCAGAAGGAGAACAGGAAAATCACCCTGTGCCTTCTTCCCAAAACAGAAGCAGCATTAACAGTCCAGGCTGCTAAGGCCCTCCTGCCTCCCCAGCAGAACAAGAGCTGCAGAGGGACCGGACCTGAGGGCTCTGTAGCAATGGCCAGGGGCAGGGTTGGGGTATGAATCCTGCCATGCAGCAGGGAATGACAGGAAGGGAGCGGTGTGAAGGAAACCTGGGGCAGGACAAGGAAGACTGCCACAGAGGCCCAGAGGAGCTCCAGAGGACCTGCCCACGTTCACACAGACGGCACTACTACTTCTCTGTCCTCTCTTCAGTCTCCATCATTCTAGGCTCTTCACCAGACTCCAAGCCTGGCAGCCTTCCCCCAAAGATGACAGGGACATGCCAAGAACACCCGGCTCTTTGGTGGGGCTCAACTGAATACAACCTGCCAAGAAGCCCTGCTCAGGATCTGGACAACTGACAGTCCCTAGGCAGTAGACTTAGGGACTTTAGCCCAGCCTAGACACTAAGAGCCTTTCTGCCACTCAGTTGCCCATGGCTTCCGTATTTACCACCTGTTCTCTCTGCCACCTTGAAGAAAACAGATTCTTTTTCAAGCACAGATCAGAAAAACTGAGGCTTTGCAAAGAAAAGGCATGCCCCTGGCCACTCAGCCCACTGGGGCTTCCCTGTTCCCTGGAGTGGTCCAACCTCCAACCACAGGCAAGGTGTGCAAAGGGTGGGCAAAAGCTGTCCCATACCCCCACTATCACTTGGCACCCTACTGCACCTCCCACATGTGTCTGCCAGTCTCCAAATCTGCCCAATGAGGCTTCCAGAATGCCCACCAATCCCTATAGGACCATATTCCCTCCCATGGTGGGGGAAAGAGCGGGGGAACCGAGGGAAGTCTGGTGGGAAGCCCCATATTCTTGCCATTGGGGCAGCCCTTAGTCTGTGGTAGCCTGGATCCAGCCAATTGTTCCTATTGCTGACAGAGAAAATGGGCTTGTGGTGGGGCTGAGGTCACAGTACATGCAAGTGGCCTCTGGCTCCGACGGGACAAAGTTGGCAGGGAGGCAGGCACCAGCTCAGCTACTGTCCCAGAGACAGGCCCTTTCTGCTGCCTCAACAAGCCAGGCACATGCAGTCAACAGCAGGCTGGGCAGCTGGCTGGCGGCCACTCTGCTGAGCCAGCAGCCACACCAGTGCATCAGTAACCTTGGGCCTGGGAGGCCCAGTGTATTGCAACTGCCATTCTTGACAGGCTCTCCTGAGACCTGCAGCCCTCAGCTCAGCTCCCCATATCTTTATGCCCCCACAGGTCCCGGGTACCCCACAAGGGTCTGGACAGGACCAAGGAAAGACAGTCAGGAAAGGGCCTCCCACACACCTTCAGCTGCCACACCCATCTTGGGTCAGCGTCCCTGTGGTTCCACTCATAGGGAAGTGCTCAGGCCACCACCATAGCCAGGCCACTGACAATGGACTTGAACTGCCTAAGGGCAGCACCTTTCCTGCCCAACCACACTCATGGTGTAACCACACCAGGCATCACCTTTGAAAGAAAGGGAGACTAGAAAGAACAGACTGGCTGAACTGGCTGCTTCTTGCCTTGTGGACAGCACACAGCCCTGCAGCACACTACACAGTGCCCACTGGGCTGGACCTCTTCAGCATCAGCTCTTAGGGTACACTGGCTACCTGTCTCCTCTGGGACTCTCTCGACCCACTAGAGTCTGGGTACTGACCCTGTAATGGTCCCAACCTGGGATCTCCTTGCCCTTGGAGGCAAGAGGGAGAGATACACTAGGTCCCCCAGGCCTACCTCAGGCTCCAAGCTAGGCTCTGGGAGAGGAGGGACATCAGGCCAAATGCTGACTACAGGAAGGGGAGGTTCTTAGGAGCCAAGAATCAATAAATCTGAACCTCATTCATGATGATCTGGGGCTCTTATTAAGTAAATTAATTTAAGTTAATTTAGCTCGATCATGACTCCCGATCACAGTGATTTAGTGAAGGGGAAATTGCATTAGGAAAGGCCATGCTCACCAGATAGAGGAACGGAAGAAAATTAGATCCACTTAGCAATGTGAATTAATATGGAAATAGCAGGTGTAAATTTAACCTTATCGAGAGAGTAAAAATTATCTTCATAAATTTGTAGAAATAGCCCCCAAGATGCTTATAAATCTATTTAAAACAAAAATATTACCAAAAGTGCAGTAAAATTAATTTAAAATATACTTCTAGCTATTGCCTCCAGAACAGTCAGCAACAGAGGCAACCCTAGTGTGGCCTGCCGTGAAAGAAGAGGTGGTAGGCCTCAGACAGACGAGCCAGGTAGGCTCACCTGCCACAGGCCACAGGGCCAAGCTATGTGGTATCCACACGGCCTGATAGAGCCCCAGTAGCTACCTCAGGCCTGCAACTGTCCGGTCAGCAGCAGAAACAATGGCGAGGCAGCTACTATCCACAGGTAGCAGGCCCCTGGATGTGCCCCACGGCCTGGGAGGCTTACCCTGTGATCTCTGGCTCCTGTGGCTCCACTAAGACTGAGCTCTCCCACTGCCCACAGAGCTGCCACCCCTCCCCAGAACTAGAGGTGAGAAATCTCTGGCTTGGTAAAGGAAGAGGCCCTTACCAGCTTCCTGGAATCCAGAGCTTGGGCCATCTCCATCAGTGGGAGTCAGAGCCTTCCCAAAAGGGGCCCCCAGAAGGCAGGTACAGAATACTCCTCAGAGAGGATGCCCCCTCCCTACTGTTCTCAGGCACAACAGCCACTGGAAGGCCAGCATGCACTGAGGACAGAATTGCAAGAAGTGGCTCAGACTGGATGAGCAGGAGCCCCAAATTACTACCCCAACTATGCATATATTGGTGACTTCTAGAAAGCCTGCTCATTAGTTTCTAACCCCTGGATGACCAGAGGCAATTCATCATGGGGGCCCCAACTATATGAGTGGTGCTGCTTCTGCAGTACATGAGCCCCCACCAGCTAACAGGCTTGCTAACAATAGCAGTGAGTATACATTTGCATGCAAGTGCAAATGCACCTAAGCGCCTCCATGTACACGATATGTGCTGGCTGACTATATATCTGGTGTACCAACAGCTGAATAGAATAATTAGGCTGTTTGCCAGCTAACATGCTGGATACCGCACAGTTCCCAGGGACAGGACTGATTCCTACATCCATCAGGTCCCAATTTGCTGTCCATGATATACAGAAAGCCTGATGCCCAGGACCTCAGGAGTTTGGACAAGATCTTCCTACCTGGATAGTGAGAGCCGCCGGGCCCGCCAGGAGGGCAGAGAAAAGGGTGGGGTGCAGACAGGAGAAGCTGGAGTCTTCTTGACAATGCGGTAGCGGGTCTTGATCACTTTGCTGGTAGGTGGAGTCCGCAGGGTGTGTGTGTTGGACACTGTAGAGAAAACCCAAGGCACATGCAGGGGTCAGAGAGGCCAACCATGGCAAGGCCGGTGAGGAGGCCCTCAAAGCTGGCCTCTCTGATACCTCCTCTGCAAGTAGAGAACTCCATCACCTCCCACCTGAGCCCATCACGTGCGCATGTGTGCGTGTGCACGCGCGCGCGCACACACACACACACAGAGCTGGGAGCACGCTCAGAGCTGGCTACTGTAGCTGTCAGGGCCGGGGAGATGGCTCAGTGGAGTAAGTGCTTGACTGGCAAGCGCTGGGGCCTCAGTTCAATGCCTAGTTCCACCAAAAAAAAAAAAAAAAAAAATCAGAACTTCATTTTTTTTAATATTTATTTTTTTTATTGAGAAATAAATATGAATGAGTTTCACAGCTGATTAATAGGACAGTTTTGATAGTCAATACACTGTACATTGTTATCTTCTTAGTAGTTATCCACAGTACAAGAAGCAGACAGAATATTCTGTCCAAACACTGTTAGTACACCTCTTTCTTCTCATTGAGTTAAGCGAAAGTAGCTATAAATTTATCCTATTTTGTATATATAAATACAAAATGATCTTTCCTTTGCATCTTTTTTTTAATTTTAATTTTAATTTTTTTTTGTCCTGTCAGAGCAGAACCTCATTTAAATCAGCAGCACTGGGGGTCTCCTCCTTGGGCCGGGGAGATGGCTCAGTGGAATATGTGCTTCCTTGGTAAATGCAAGGGTCTGAGTTCAATCCCCAGTTCCACCAAAACAAAACAAAAAAATGATATACATGCCAAAACTTCATTAAAAAATTAGAAGTTTACTGTAGCTGTCAGAAGAGCAGGGTCCAGACCCTATATATCCTCATGGCTGCCTGACAGGCCAAAAAGGGACACTGAGTGATTGCCCTCACAGGAAGCAAGAAGCCCAGCAAGGCAGGCCCTGGCTGACTAGGCTTCGTGGGCGAGCACCCACACTAGGAATCCTCGGACCTCAAATTCCATGCTGGGCCCAGAAAGCTAGTGCCAGGGGAGCCCCTGCCTTGTCCCTGCACACACGAGAGGGACACTGAGCGCTCACCTCTTCTTCTTGGTACTACCCCACTCTGGTGCCAGACAGATTTATGTGTTTAATCACTGTTTTCATAACATTCTGTAGGATGATATCCACAACTGCTTTCTCGCTGAATGTGTCATGCAATTAGTAGGGATCTGCTCTGGCTCAGTTCCTTTCCACTTGATAGCCAGCAATTTCTCTACAGCTTCGAGGAACGTGTCTAATTGCCCAACTTTCATAATGTACAGCTCTAACTGCCCAGATAATTAAAGCTAACACGGCCACCTCTCATGCTTGCATCCTCCAAGTAGAAGCCGCTGCCCAGCCCTCCCAGGTGGCATCTGCTCCCTTCCAATCTACACACAGCTTCCTCCTGCCCTGGGGATCCTTGTCTGCCCCCTGAGCTCTCAATACTATACACCCATACGATCAGGAGCTGGAAGCTCTGAAGACTCCTCACCCAGAGGCCGGTACAACAGACCTCTCATAGCCCAGCCTCCTAGACAACACCTTGGCCATCAGTCCTCAGAGATGAGACCTCAACACCACCACACTTCTACACACAAAGCAAGAAACACAACTGCCCATCCCTGTCCATATGTTGGCAAGAGCCCCACCTTCAGATGTCCCTCACATCTACTGGGTTCTCCATTAGCCCACATGTTGGGCAAGACAGGAATACAAGGCCAAAGTCCTCCTGAGAGTCCCCAGAGCCTAGCTAGCCCAAAGAGTCTGCCACAAATACAGACCCTTGAGGGGATGGACTGTAGGCTGTATATGTTCAACCTGAGTCAGGGGGAATGGGGCTCAGTACAAAGATCACTGCTGGCCCCAAAGACTAAAGATAGGAACCAGAGGCCAAAGCAACATCTGGATGACAGCTGCCATCAAACCCCAGTAACAGGTCCCCCTTTCAATCTCTATTCTTAGTTCTGTCCCTACTCCATCTGTCTCTCTGTCCTTCTGAGCCTCCTTTGAGCCTCCCTGGTCCTCCTGTGTGATCAAAGCAGATCTTTAGCTCTTCTTACTTCTACCTCCCAACACACTTGGGATACAGGGGAAGCCTGGTATACAGTGGGCATCAATAAATAAATGTTTGTTGAATTGAATTTTCAAGGTCTTACAAGCAAAGAGAGTCCAATGAAAATCAATAGTAGCTTGTTCCAACTAAGAGCCAGCAAACACAAGACACCTTAGGTTATCAATAACCCTGGGCTGACCTCATTGCCTGGAAGCCCTGGTCCAGTTGGGCAGCATCTGTAGGGGGTGTGTCTATAAGAACAGAGCTCAGACCTCCACCTGCCATCCCCAACCCAGTGTTCACTTTTGCAGAGAAGCTTCAGGCCACTCACTTGCCAACCTGCAGCCACTCTGACCATGTCCTGCTGGTTTCCCAGGCTGCTCATAGCTGCCACTAGGATGCACATTCCAGAGCCATGCACACCCCTCATGGAAGGAGCAGGGATTTGTGTTACCCTGGAGCCTGGACCAGGGAGCCCAGAGATCTGGCTGGACTCCACTCCCATTTCCCAACAGGACACAAGGTCCTTTTAGCTAAAATCACCTTCCAGTGACGTCAGTCCACAGAAAGCAGCTACTTCCTCTTCCAGGAAGATCCCTTCACCCACTGCTCACAGCACAGCTCCTATCTAGCAAGGTCAGCTTGAAGGAAACAACAGCACCAAGGCTGAGGTCTGGAGCCTCCCTACACTCCTGCCCACTGATGAGCCCTAGCAGTAAGACCTTCTGCCTACAACAGCTGCAATTTCCTAACTTTCTGTATCTTATATATTTAGTGCCCAATTATCACACCAACAAAATACAAGAGAACAAGTAGGTTACCTTTTAGAAGATGACCTCTTATCACTGCTCAAGGGACAAGATGCTTCCCATACCTTCCCTACGGTGAAGTCTAAGGGTAGGGACTCCTAGACAGCAGGATGTAGTCCATGCCACTGCCAAGTGGGGTCACAACCCCCACATGTACCTCTCTATGCAACTCATATCACCATCTGTCCTGGATGTGCTCCTGACAATAACCTGACAGGTACAGCTGAACAGGCAGACATGAGGACTGAAATGCAACCAGTATGAGCAAAGGCTCCTAAGGCTGTGCTTGGTGCACAGTAACCCAGAAAGGCATGCTAAAGAGAGGCCAGTCCCTCCCAGGGTAGGCAGCAGGTAGCAAAGCCACAGGGCTGCAGGCCAGCCAAGGCAGCACAGTCAGGAACAGCCTCAGCCCTCCTCCCTAAGGACACAGCAGGGGCAGCGCACCCCTCCTTACTGGCTGAGGGGTTTTGTGTAGATAATCATGTTATTTAGATAGGATGTTGGTTTAATTCCCTTCATTACAGACTCCCAGGGTTGTAATTTTTTTCCTCCGCATGATGTATCCCCCATGGCACGCTTCACTCAAATCAAGCCCCTTGCGCCTTTATTGCCGATGATGCCCGTGCCGCGTTATCAGGCCCACACATGCAGCCCTCTCCGCCCGCCGTCCAGAGGTCACTTCTAATGACTAATCGATCTCATTAGCTTTCCTAATTAAAAACTTTACTACCGCAATGGAAGACAAACTACAGAAAAACTGCTGGCATCATATTTGAATGGGATATGAGCCCCATCTATCAGCAGGGCTCCAGCTCCCGCCTGAGGCACTGGGGTGCTGACCTCTGGCCTCCCCACCCCCGGATCACTGGGGGTTGGGTAGAGGCAGCCAAGGGCACACTGAGAGGGCCACTCACTGAGTACCTTATCCCTAAGGAGGTGCTACGGGAAGGGAGGAAGCTGGGAGCCCAGGAGTCTGCTCCTACCCGGCACAGGCTGCTCTCAATCTGCAGAGCCGCTGACCTGGCTTTCCTTCCTTGGGAGGACTCCCAGAAGGCAGGATGCAGGTAGAGGTCACGCTCACACTCTGTTTTAGTGCAGGCAGCAGTTGAGAGGCAGTTCCAATTTTTATGGAACTTCAAAGGGAAATAACTAGAAGAAAATGAGTTGCTAATTTCACAACTAGTTAATGAATAAGATGAAAGTGGAACTACTGCTTTGTGCAAAAGCTGCCTGAGGCTGCCAACCCAGAGAGGCTGCACCTGCCCTCCTGCACTATACCAAACCAAGAGCTAAGGTGAGCGTCCTTGGTCTGTCCAGTCCCCACCAGCCAACACAAGCAGCACCAGCTCCAGCAGGAAAGAACAGAGGAAAATGAATGGGGACCTCACCCACCTATAGGAGACAAAGACCCAAAAGCCTTCAATCCTGGCCCAGGCTGGCACCCCAGCTTCCTGTCCACCTCCCACCAGACCTTCTAATAGTGGGCTCAAGGTGGGCGTACCAGGGCCTCAGTACTGAAGTGAACGGCCTGGCATGAAGACTGCAAGGATCTAGCCCAAGAAACTGCCCAGTTCTTGGGAGCCGGGGAGATGGCTCAGTGGAATAAGCGCTTCCTTGGCAAGCGCAACAGTCTGAGTTCAATCCCTGGTACCGCAAAAAAAAAATCTCTGTCTCTCAAATAAATAAAAAAAAAAAAAAAAAAAAAGAAACTGCCCAGTTCTAGAAACCCTTGTCCTAAGAGCATGGTGGTAGCTGAGGAAAAGGGTGGAGCATAGCACCTGAGCACAGAATTTGCCAAGAACAGTCACAGGAGTCACTCGTGCCAATGGGACAAGAGAAGTAGGGCTCAAGAGGAGAATATGGTGTATCTAATAGGAGCCCAGACACCTGCCAAATTCCTGAGAGCAACAGCACCAGTGACAGACCAGGCAGGGGGCCAGCCCCAGGGGAAAGCCACAGGCATCCCCAGATTCCTTGTGCCAGCTTGTCAGGTCAGCAGTGCCGCCCTGGTTGAGGGACCGCCCCCCCCCCCAAGGCTGAGGGAGCCAGGCTACCGGGACAGTCTGGAGCTGCCGTGCTGTAGCGCTGCAGGCATTCTGCCAGCCAGGCTCTCTGTCCCTAATTCA